CAACTTTGGAATGAGTTGCCTGTGTACACAAGCAACTAGAGGGTGTGTACATAAAATGTGTACTGTAGAAACAAATTTTCCATACAAGTAATACAAATACATAGAATTATTTTTCTAGCACCAGCTAGCCAACCATCGAGTGTAAAATAGCTATAGCCAGGGGCAGAGCTAGGGGGTGCCCAGGCTAGGCCCTGGCCCACCCCAAATTTGAAAAATGTTAATATTTTTAGTGTAAAAAATTTCGTGTAAATTTTTTTCCAATAATATTCTTTGTACCGGCCCAGTCTAGCCCAGTGTCCTGCCTACGCCCCTGGCTATAGCTGATTCAGTGGCGGACCTAGGTATCGGGAGTCATTGTATACACATATGTAGTACTACTATTATACGAAGTACGTAGTATTACTTACTATTACGGTTATATTACTTCCTCTATTCATTATAGTTTTAATGCTTCCATTTTCAGGGTTCTTTTTCCTCAAAAATATTACCATAATAAAATTTATTTAGACAAATATAACTAATAGTTACTACAATGTAGTGTCATGGAAACTGAAGTTTAAAAATTGAACATAAGTGATTATGATTTCATTACTACTCTAGTCACTAGTCGATCATATTTTTGTAAACATTTTTTATTCTAGTCATAAATATGTAGGTATTTCTTTTCAAAGCTCCTGACCCAATGCACTACTTTAACCATTGATATATTCATTTCACGATTACTAAAATTTTAAAAATTAGATATTTAAAATTTTAAATGAGATGTATTTAACAATACTTTTCAAAAAATAAATTTGAAATATATTAGGGGAAAAGGTACAAATATACCCCTGTAGTATGGATGTGAGAACAAATATACCTCTGTTCTATTTTTTGGAACAAATATACCTCTGAAGTATTTGTGAAAGTGCATATATACCCTTGAACTTTTTTAAAGGTACAAATATACCCCTCATATTCTTATAAAGGAGCAAATATACCCTTATTGACTTCAAAAAACACCAAACATAGATTATAAATTCAAAATTAAAAAATAAAGATTTTAAAAATGTACTTGTGTCCAATTCTCCCTTTTATTGTTCGTAAATCACATTTAAATATTGTTATTATAAAATGTTATTTCAAAACATTACTATATATTTAAGATTTTTTCGAAAAAAGTGTTAACTTATGTGTTCCAATACAAATTTTTTTTTTGCATTCTTTGCACTATAAAATCACATATTTTGTATGATGATAAATAGTTCAAGATTACAAAATAGTGAATTTCATTTTATTAAGTTTAAACAAAATCAAAGAATGTTATTTAAAAAAATATAACAATGTGTTCAAAATTTCATAACAAGACTAAAAGTAATACTAGTATTAATGATTTAGCTTCATTTACAACGGAAAACTAAAAATTTGGAAATTTAAAATTAAAGAATTAATATTTTAACATAATAAATAAATTAGTTTCTATATATGAATTGAAACTAAATAATATTTAATTCATCTCACCACTCGATCAATATATAGAGCTTTTTCTTCAGTTGGATGTTTTGGAGTTTTGAAGTGTAGCAGTGTAGGGATATATGAAGCGGCTGATTATGTATGTAATGTTTTTTATGCTTTACTCGAAGGTTGATGATATCCTTTAAACTCTATATCTACAATTTCTTATCTAAAATTATCATGCTATCCAATATCCACCACATCTGTGGTGTCACCGATGGTCCGCCCCCCTCCTTAGGGATGGCAACAGGGCGGATCGGGGACGATTTTACATATAACCGTATCCGCCCCGTTGGGTAATTCTCCCGCCCCGTAACCGCCCCATTACCCAACGGGTAATTTTTACCCAAACCATAACCGCCCCAACGGGTATAACTGCGGGTAACCGCGTGTAATTGCTTTATTAAATAAATCATTGATACTCCGTATTTTATTATAAAAATAATATTTTAAAATGCGAAAAGAGTATTATCACCTAGACGACTTTAGACTCATATGCCACTTTAAAGTTTTGTATATTTATAAGAGGAGAAGGAAGACAACATAAATTAATTTGAACCTAAAAAAACTTAATATTAATCACAAAAAAATTGATAATAATCAAACAAAACTATTAAGATTTGTTATAAACTTTCACTCATACACTATAGTTAGTACATCTATTATTCATATACACAAAATATAAATAGAAAAATCTTACTCCGTATCTTTTAGTAATTGCGGGACAAATAATAGATAAAAATATAATAAAAATATAGCCAAAACTAAACGGGGCGGGTAATGGGGTGAGCATGTATAAAACCGTAACCGCCCCATTACCCGTAAAAATAAAACGGGTATTCCCCGCCCCGTACCCATTACCCGGTCAATGCGGTTTTTCCCGTTTTGACCGGGGCGGTTCGGTGCGGGTATCCATCGCTTGATTCGGTTCAGTTGCGATTGCCATCCCTACCCCTCCTGAACCCCACCGTGAAGTGGGTGGGTTGTCTAGGGTTGGAAGGTTGTATTTGATTTTCATCAAACAAACGAGTACAAGATCGGAATAGGCGTCAATCTTGTTAAGTCAAGGGTTCAAATATATTGAATTAGTGTATTCAGTGAGTTTATTGTGTTGTTTAGTTCTTATGATCGAGTTCTTTTTATGTTGCTACGCTTTTTGTTATAGACTATTTTCTAGGGTGTGAGTATGACTAGCAATTCTTCTAATTTTGATGTTGGTAGAGTACGATGATCTCTATGATCAGCTTAGGCGGACCTGCATTATTACAAGTGAGATAAGCATATGCTTACCTAAAAAAGTTGTTAGCTTATGTGATAGAAGTGATAAACTTAAGTTCCTTTAAAGTGAATATTATAAAGTGATACATGTGAATATTATTTTTTAGAGTGATTCACTAATGTGTTTCATTGCCTTTATTCACCCCAGTAACCCTAAGTTTAATTATATTTTGAAAATACTAAATACTCAGTAATTAACTCCTCATCAACGCTATCAAATACATTAGTTTCTATATAAAGCTCTTGTGTGCTGTAGGACTGCACAAGAATAACCCGAACCCGCATAACCCGTCCGACCCAACCCTACCCGACCCTATTTAATCGGGTATTTGATTTTTAGAAATATTCATGGGTTAAATATGTTTGAACCCGCACCCAATGGGTAGGGTTGCGGAATTAAAATCTCAAACCTGATAGTACCCGACCCGGCCGAAGTTCATTTTACTATTATTATGCTACACCGTTTTCTTAGATTATTTCAATTTAAGACCAATGTGCTCTATCTAGGACTTTATATATGATATTAGAATTATAGTTAAACATTTATCATTTTGACTAGGTGATTATTATATATTTACGTTTCCTTTTAAATGAACTTCCTTTATGGAAGGATGTTTTAATACTATTACCTAATGTTTTTGCTTATAAAAGGTACGAGTACTTGTATTTGTTTGTGTGTTTTGGAAACAAGTTAATCGAGTTTTAAATTGGTTACATTAATTTCCCACATGAAAGATGCAACCCGAAGGGATTTTTTTTTTCCAATACCCGACCCGTTCATGCATGGTTTATCAACTTATTTTGCGTACCGCGGGTTGGTTAATAGTCAACCCGAACAAATCGGGTAGGCCCAAAAAATATAGCAAACCCGACCCAACCCGCCCGATGTGCAGCCCTAGTGTGCTGGGACGCTGGGCTGGACTTCTGGTGCGCACGGATGCAAGATCTATCACTATTGGATTGACTGGGTCACCACATTTTCAACCTTCCATGTGTCTTGTAAGATGGGGGCACAGGGACCTTTGGGTTGAGGATTTAACCTTTTGGAGGAATCAGGAAAAAGTCTAGCTTTGAATATGTAAGATGTTTAGCTGACAATGTTATTTTATAATCTCAACGTGGTTGATGTACATTTCCTGTCTTATGAATGTGAGTTTGATCGAGATTCTAACTTTCAAGTACTTGCCCAAAGTTTTCATTAAAAAAATACTTACAACTTTCGCAAGATATTATTACAAAATACACATGCATTACAAACTAACTTACGTAGTACTAAATTTTGTAAAGAAATTACATAAAGACATAATTTTTTATAAACAAAACTGACTTCCATTTTCTTTATAGTATTTCATTCCACAAATATTGTTTTATCTTGTTTTTTTTATTTGTCGTACTAAGATTGTTTCATACCAAATTTAATAAAATTTGTAAAGTTCTAAATCATTCTTACTTTATTATATTCCATATTATTGATTGGAAAGATTGGTTCTTGCTTGCTTTTTATTTAGAGTTATTATATTGCAATAATGGAATTCCAACGAATCAAATTATATTGGGCTATTTCCATTTTCCATTATTGCAATATAAACTCTAAATTAGAAAGCATTTAGAGATGCAACTGACCAAAAGCATTTGACTTGCAAGAAAAGCGACACAATTTGGGCCTACCTTACCTAAGCAACAGTGTAAAAACTCGCCCATCCCCTCAACCAGAAATATACTACTGCACTACTTTTTTTTTGACCCCATAATTATCCAATGGGTCAGAAGTCGGCGCTAGTGTTTGCCCATAAGAAGTTGACAGAACACAAGCCTTTGAGACTCAGTCTAACAAATGCATACTCTGTCCCTTAAAACTTTGTCAAGTTTGACTAGCACAAGGATCAATAAAGCAAAAACTGTGTAGTTGAAGTTTGTGCAGAGGAGAGAAAATTAACTGAAACCACAAATTCTTTACTTAAAAAGAAAAATGACAAAGTTAGTGGGACATCCAAAAAAGGAAAGTTGACAAAGTTTTAAGAGACAGAGGTAGTATAATATAGTACTCCCTCCGTCCCTAAAAGGATTGCCAAGTTTGACCGGCACGTAGAATAATAAAGTAAACACTATGTGGTATAGATTTGTGCGGAGGAGGGAAATAACAGGAGTCACAAATTGATTGATTAAAAATGAAAGTGGCAAAGTTTTGAGACAACCAAACAAGAAAAGTTGGCAAAGTTATAAGGGACGGAGGAAGTATAATTATAGGAAAAAACAAACTTCTTTATAGCAGGAAAATACCAGCTATTTCCCAAATATGTGGATGTCTCCATTAATGAAAGAAGCAAGCAATCACACAGTTAAACAGATACACTACCAACTTCTTTAATGTCTGAACAATGATTGGAGTGCATATTACAATCTTCCCAACCATATATATTAGAGTACATACATAGCTGTCATGTTTTATATACCTTACAAAGGACACTTGTAAGAAGAACAAGAGATGACTGATATTATATTTATAGATATTTGGAATATAATAGCACTACCAGCTTAGCAAGTTCTTTCCGTGTTGAACTTTCTCACTGTACCGGCTTTCTATATCATCCTGCACAGCCGGGAACTGGTTTAATTTCTAGAAAGACCTGTTTGACTTTAATTGTTGATTGACTACACATATATTTTTGGGCTGGCAAAGTAAAATGTACCTTGCAGGATTTTAGCAAGGGTTGCAAGAAGGAATTTCTGAAATATGTGACTGATTTCCCGAGTGAGGTTCCATCCCATTCTGGAATCAAAGGTAAAATGTAAGTGATTCAGTACAATTTAAAAAGGACAAATAACATTAGCTATCTTCAATAGAGATGTTGAGAATTATTATGAGCAGAGTATATAGCGGCTCAGACTTTCAGTCCAGATAATGGGGCATACCATTATTCATCTCAGCTCTAGAGCCTCCCCTGTTAAGTTCTCCAAGAAGCTGCAAATAAAAAAATGGAACCACATAGGATATTTAAAAACAACAAATGAACAAAAACTCGTTTTGAGTTACAAAATAAAGATTATATAAGCACAGATGATTGGAAGCCATAGTTTTTAGACATCATTTCGCCACTAGAAAGAAAATTGTCATGTTATTTTTTCCCGCTATGACTTGACACTTTAATTAAGAAAGTGAAAATGAGGTTAGGGGTTATTTAAAAAGTGAAACAATCAATCACACAATTATTTTTTCAAATATAACGGGATGAAAAAAAGAAAAGGTGGAAGAAAATTTTGGGGCATGAGTATAAATTAACATTGAATTATGTACTCACCACAGTCATCAGCTCATCCTCAAGTAGTTAAGGATATTTAGATTTGAATCTTAATGTAGTGTAAATGTATATAATTATATAAACAAGATGAGTGTGAACAATATGTATGTTCATTTGTTGACTTTCAAACATACGTTTTTCACCTAAAATTTTCTTTCCTACTACATTTCTCTAGGGGTGAGTAATGCATTTTCGAGACGGATTAGGGCCAGGTTCTAATTTTAAAAAATCAAAATGCGGCGGGTTGGTTTTAAAAAATGTAGGAACCAACCGGGTCTTGATATTTGAAAAAATGGGTACACAGACCGACCCATTTTAGATAATATTATTTTATTAAACTATACTCCGTATTATATTTAATATACTAACAACACATGAAAGCTTTTCATGTTCTTATGTTTTAGAAAAAATTCTTAATTGAAGAAACTCGCGAGTCTACTATAAAGAGTTCAAACATATAAACTCTTATTTTATTATCCCTAATTCTCTATTCCAAATGCAACAAATATCCTTTATTTAATTTCTTTTATAAACAAAGATTCTTACTCGATGAAGTGTGACATATTCATTTAATTATCTTAATTAATTTTACTTGCATTTTGAGATTTATTAAGTTGTAAAATTGTTCTCTTGGACATATATGTAAAGTGACTAGTTCATTTTTTTACGATTATGTTGTGCTATTTTTCGTTTATGTATGATGATGTCTAATTTTCTACATTTCAAAATTTGGTGCTATTTAATTTGTATAATTGTGTGCTATTTAATTTATAGATTAGTGGTTAGATATTTTGTTAATAATTCAAAAATTTGTTATCAATTTTTTATTTTGAAATTACACTATATTATGGTGACATTTATATTTATTTAGTTTGAGAATGTTATTAATAACTAACTACTTTGGTGGCGTAGCGATATATTTTCCACAAGAAAAGAACCAAGAACTGGACCGAACCGGCTCGTTCCAAACAGGAAGGATAAGGTCTGGTTCCTATTTCGAGACTTGGTATACCCAACCCGAATCTACCCGTTTAATGGAACAGCCAGTTCTTGAAAATTTATTAATCAACTAAACCTACCCGGACAGTGCCCACCCCTACACATTTCTCTTCTATTTTCCCGTATTCTATTTCCCTGTTACTTCAGGGGTACAATTTGGCCCCACGAGAACTGGGATCAAAGCAATTGCATTGTGTTTTAACTTTTAATTTACAATCACATGAAGCATTTCATTTCCCAGGACAATATACCAGCGGGCGTTTGAAGTGAAGTGAAATTGTTTGCATATGAAGCACTCCTGTATGCAAGTTTTGCAGCATTACAGTTCAAACTGAAACTGTTGGGCAAACAGTATATGGAATACTACGTACTAAGTTACTAACTCAATTTGTTAATGACCATTCTTTTTGTATTATCGAGAAGCTTTACCACAGTAACTGGCAACCATTTCTTAATTAGATCCAATAGGACTTCAACAAGATGAATAATAGGTGGCAATAGAAACATAGTATCCAACAAGAAAACGCACTTGTGAAAGAGTTGGCACAGCAGAGGGGTCAAATTCTTCACATTCATTGGGGTCAATAGGAATACAGACACGGCCTGGAGAAAAAGAAGTAGTGTATCAATATGAATCTATAATTTATAGATATTCAAGTGTTGGCATTTCTAGTATTGTTTGCATAATCAGAAAATAATCCTCACAAAGAAAAAGTAATAAACAATATTCAAAAGTACCTGTTTGGGGGTGCACGCAGAATGGTGCTTTCAATAAATGATTCAATTTTCTTGAAACCTGGATATTGCTAGCATGTTAGGTTTATGCATCAATAATTTATAGAAAAGATATAACTTGTTCTCAATTATTGTTAGGAAAAATTGAAAAGGGCATGTCCAAAAATGCTGCAGTTGCATGTGGAACAGAGAGATAGAAAAGGAAAAGGATGAGCAAACAAACCTCCATATCAAGCCTGGGGTAGGCAAAAGAAAACACAATCTCTTCAACACACCTGCGAATCCCCTGGGCCTGAAATGTGAAATGAAATCACATTCAGAGAAACATCAATAAACTGAGCATAATAGAAATTCAAAAGAAAAAGTCTGCTTGAAGAATCTGTTGAGAGCTTTTCAAAGGCAATTAGGCAAATGTGTAGTCCACAGTAGAAATTCATAGAATAGGTATATTCACAAAAACATGATGACAGTTGCAGCATAAGATTGTCACTGTACCAATTGGAAAATAAAAATACAGATTTTAGATACTTGAAGATGCAAATGGGACGCTAAAAAAAGATGCCAATGGGAAAATGCATGATACCGATGTGGTTCAAAAGAGTGTTTCCGTGAAGCATATACCTTGTGTTTACCAGATTGTAGCAGGTGTTTTAGTTGTTCCCATCTGTAAACATTAATGTCCTCTTTGACACGTTTATTTTCCTGCCACCTTGATCTGAGTTCAGATGCAATATCTGCAACAAATCAACAATAACCTAACATAATATTTAGGAGATGAGAAAAGAAAAACTATAGTTCTATATGGAGAATAATTCGCAAAAAATAAACATCCATACGCTCATCAGGAATCAATTTTAGCATCTCCTCACATCTTTCCTGGCTTGAGAGCAAATTTTGACTTACAAGCAGTCTTTTCTCAAAAAAATCCTTCAAGACATCTGTGTAAGATCTCCTGCAGAGGATGAATGTGAACTGAATGAGAACATAGGAAAACTTAAAATCAGGAAAATGTATATCAAGCAGGACAGAACACAAAATAACTTAAGACTCTTACTTACACGAGGAAAGGATGAAGTGTTGGACCCATGAGAGAAACTTTTCGATTGCTATTCTCGTTTCCCTGAATTTTATAAAAACTCTTATGTAATGGAATATAGTACCTTTAATTATTTCAGTACTACTAAAACAATTGTCAAGAACCTTGTAGACACGAAAGTAATCAGCTACAGCAGCCCTTTGTTCGTTATTCAACCTGATGAAAAAGAATATCAACAGAAATTTCCAACTTCAATTCTCAATGTATCACAATACACTAATTAAAACTGTAAATCCCTATAGAGCAGCATCACCTTCTAGCTTTTACATCACATACCCAACAATGGACACCACGCCGACCACTGTAAACCCAGAGAATGTGATTGAAACCAAAGTCCTCTGCGAAGAATGTTATAAATAAGTGTGACATTGTTTAAAGATAATGACACTGTTTATAAGGGAATGACATGAAGACACCTAAACAGTGAATAGAACAATGAGGAAACCTCCATACAGGCAAATATTTAACAATGGCATCACACAGACATTTACAGTGAAATCTTATCCAATTGAAAATAACAGCCAAGTAGAAGCAAAAAACTTCAATCCCTCAACACCAAAAAACAAGCTGGATGAGCAAGGGGATGCTTTCTACTCCACATTTATTGTGAACGTGTCAGCTAAAATATATATTCAACTGTTAATAGACAAGAGGATAAATGAAGTTAGTGAGACCTAACAACTTAAAAAGACCTACAATCATGATTCAGCAAAATATTGTGCACATCTACTGGCTTTATTTGGTTTTAGTATTTCACTCATTCAAACATCATTGCAGTAAGACATAGTTGCTTAGTTACACGACCTGCATACCTCTGAGAGAAGTATCAATGACTTTAATAGCAACTGTCATCAGTGTCCAGCAGTCAGAGCAAGTATTAGCTTCTTTGCAGCAATACCTGGAGTCATCATAATCTGATATATCCTGCAGTCAACAATAAGCCTGTTAGATTGAGATAAGCATATTTTCATTCACACAGGTTAAGAGCCTACTATATCGAAGACCAGCTCCTTCTCAATCGGTGTGAAGCTATTATCGCCTTGTGCATAGGCGTGCCTTTTTGCTGGCTGCAAAATGGGGCTAAAAACGTGTTAAGAAGGATCAATAATTTTAGAAGCACAAAAGGACTAAAAATATATCCACTTGTAACAAAGACAAGTCGACAATTGTAAAAGGCGCCATGTTAAATGGAGAAATAAGTATAGAAATAATACATCCACATTATAAACAGCTCCAATGTCAATTTTGAACGGACACTTCTCCTTGATGGATTTTTCCAAATCATAAGCATTGTTGAATGATTGAAACCGCAGATATATGTTATTATCTAAAGTGAATGAAAATTCTCTACGTCCAAAGTATGACTGGTCACATCCAGGATGCTTTCCATCTAGAGAAATCAATAGGACAAATATTCAGTACAACAACAACAACATCCAAGCCTTAGTCCAAAAGGACAAATATTCAGTAATACTGAAAAAAACTGAAAGCATATTTAAAAGAACGAAATAGAGTATGTCCTATGCAGCTCAAGAAATTAGGATTTACCATTTCCATAAGAAAGCCATTTAAACATATCAACATATGGAAAAAGCTTTCCTGCCACACACAAAAAAATATAGTAAGGTCACACTGAAATACTACCCCCATCCCATAATGTAAGATACAAGTGTGTTTCGCACAGATTCTAAGAAAATAAAAGATAAAGTGTTTTTTTACAATTCTAACCTCCAAAAGTAAGAAAAAGTAAGATGGGTCCACAAAAAGTAAAGAGTGAAATTACAGATAAAAGGGACAAAGTGGGAAATTAAAAAAATAGCGGAGTTCAATTTAGGAAAGTGTTCATATTTTTTGGACAACCCAAAAAAGATTGTGCATCTTACAAAATGGGACAGAGGGAGTATAATATGAAGGGAGGAAATGCCATTAAAATGAATAAAGTGCAGATTTTAAAATGGTGATGAATTAGTGTTCACAATTACAAATGAAGTAAGCATACATTCGGGATACAAAGAAAGGAGCAGAACAAGGTCACAATAAGATAATGAAGTTGGTTTTCTGAACGAGTCTCCATTTCCTGAAATATTAAGCAATCGGACTTCTTCCCCTACAATTTGTATCAGTGTTGGTCTAGTTTTCACAACACTTCACTTAATCAGAACTCACCACCACCACCATCCACCCATCTTAATCCCAGCAGCTATGTTGAAGTGAGAGGCATGGAGTTTATGATGTCACTTAAGTATCTAACAGTAATTAACACCGTATATTCATGCAAATTATGTATCTCCACCATAGTAGTCATGGCGCATGGCGATCGCCATGGCTCAAAGGCATTTTTCATGGCGCATGGCGATGGCGCATATACAAATGGCGCATAAAGCGCATATGGTGCTATGGCGGCGGCCAATTTTTCATGGCGATGGCGCACATGGCGCGCGCCATATCCAGCCATTGACTACTATGATCTCCACCATAAACCCTCACATCAATTTAAAATAAAAACATGCCTAAATGTTTCAGGTAATTCATAACTGACATTAACCATTATGAAAGTATGAAGTAAACTACCATAATAAACTTTGAGATAATTCAAATTGAAGCCATCGGGGAAGGAATTGTCTTGCTCTTGTCCAACGTCTTCACTTGTCATCTTGGATAGTTACGCAACCCAAATAGTCTCTGCTAGTAACAAACACTAATGAGAATTGGATAGTCAGATCATTGATGAACAAACCATTCTCCTGGCCCAATGCAAGATAAATTCAAGGGACCAAATCATTAAAGTTAAGTAAACAAGCACAAAGTTACAATACTAAAATTTAGATTCAAATGCTAAGATCAAATAAGATACTCCCTCTGTCCCATTTTATCTGTCTTACTTTCCTTTTTGGGTTGTCCCAAAATAAGTGTCATCTTTCCCTTTTTAGAAAGAAAGATGTGGTTCAAAACAATTCACTTTACTATACTCAAATCTCAACCACAACTTTTACCTTTTCAACCACTTTATTAAATATTGTGCCAAAAGCAAAGGAGACGCATAAAATGGGACGGAGGTAGTACTAATTTTTCAACGCTCTGCAAATGAAACTAACCATGGATGGAAAGTTCTACATACTTCCAATATTTCATTGCTACAAAATTATTAGTCATAAGCATATTTACATCAGTAATGTATCGTATCATTTCTAATACATCAAATCATCAACTCATTTGTGACGTCACAACTCTTTAAGACGCAACACCAAAAGGCACAAAAAATGCTCTTTATGGGTTGATAACAGTTTTTGATGTCTTAACTGACTGGATTTCTAGTCAAAAAATGGCTCCATATTATTTTTATTATATATTCAAATAGTTGGTATAATTAGAAATCATTTCCAAAAGTGTGCATTACTATTGATTTATGAGTGACAGTTGGATTAATATAAAGTTATTTTCCCTAAAAAGTATAAACAATGGGGAATTGGGAACTATGGGATTAATATAAATATGCAAACATAATACACTAACATTATATTTAGAAACAGAAAAGAAAGAATCACACTTTTCCAGCTCCTAACAATATTCTGGGAAGTAGGAACAAGGAACACTCTTCAAAATACAGTGACATTATATTTAGAAATGAAAAACAGAAAAGAAAATAAGAACCACGCTTCCGCAGTTCCTAAATCCTAACAATAAACTAAAGAAGTGAAGGAGCTACTTAAAATAATACGGAGTAATAATCAGTAATCTTAACTTAATGTTATGCGCCTGAGTTGGAAATCGGAAATAAGATGCACTCTAACATTACATTTTACCTGGCTGAGTCGTGAGAGGTGCGGGTGGCCGTTGGGCGGGGGCGAGTCGCAGCGGTACGCCGCTGCAGTCGTGGACTACTCACTACTCGGTCGTCGATGAAGAGGCTGAAGCGTAGCAGAGCTTTACGCTGACGTGATGATATTTTGGGCCGGTCTAAAGTTGTTTTTATAAATTTAGGCCACACTTCTTCAGATTTTGGCGGGCCTTAACTCTTACAGGCCCATGTCCAAATTCGCCTGGGATGAATTTGGTCTAATCTCAACTATTGTTAATCCGTTGTTAATAATCTCAATCATCAATTTATTTCTATAGTAGTTCCAACTATAGAAACAATTTTCCAAAAATAATTCCTAACAATTTTCTATTTTTTGCTTTTAGTTTTTTTTTTAATTTATTCCTATTTTATTTATTTTAAATTATATTCTATAAATTTTTATGATACATTTTATCGTTTAATTTTAGTGATTTCGGATATAGGTTTTGATGGATTTGGCTATTTTAATGAAAAGATATTAATATTATAATTTTAATTGATATAATGGAAACTGTAAAAAATGTATAATTGAACGATAATAAGTGAAAAGGTATTTACATTTTTTACAATTTTCATTATATCACTTAAAATTATAGTATTAATATCTTTTTTATTAAAATAGCCAAAACCTCCGAATTCTATACCCCAAATCACTAAAGTTAAAAGATATACTATATCATACTTCATGTAATTTATTGAATATAGTAATATAAACTAAATAAAATAGAAAGAAATTAAAAATACTAAAATGTAAAAATAGAAAATTTAGATTTTAGGATTAAGATAGCATAAAAAATTACATTATCATGAGAAAAGCTAGAATAAAGCTCTAAACCGTAAAATTTTTACTCACAATTTACTTTTTGAAAATAGAAAATGTAAATTTTGATTAAAAATAATAATGCTAAATTATAAATCGGTGACACAACTGAAAAAAAAACAAATTGAAAAAAATTAACAAATGAAATTTTATTGAAAATAAATAAAAAAAAATGACTACAAATATTTTATTGAACTTGAGTACAATTGTAAAATTTATTATTATTACATGTTTGAAAATATTTTGTTTTGAACTTTATAAAAATGTTTCTATAACTTTCGAAAATTGAGAGTTGATAATTGAGATTAATAAAAAAAAAGATCGACTATAGTTGAGATTATTTATAGATTACGAATAGTTCGCATACAAAATTGACATGCTCTACCAGATTGTAGCGGTTAGGGACTATTTTTGAAAAATGATCCATATAATTGGGACCATCCAAAATAAATTAATAGATAGTTGGGATTGCTAACCGCGGATCGAAAATAATTGGAATTATTATTTTCAATTTTTCCTTTTTTATTAAAATTACTCCTAGTATAAGAAATGACAAAAAAGTGACTAGAGGTTTATGATTTCGTTGTGCGCTAGACAACCCTAGGGGAAACCCTATGTTGCCATCTCCCACCTCTTGCGAGATCTGATCTACGAGCATTCTCTTCTTCAATGAGTAAGAGTTTTGAAAGATCTAAAAGAGGGAGCCCGAGATGCAAAATGACGCCGAGTGAAATGTGTCGTGTGAATAAGAGATCCAGTAGCGTCTGATCGAGACCAGGCATTTGGCAAGAGCTAGATCAGCAACAATATCTTGCATATTTTTAAGATATTGTGAGATTGTGCGCGAAACACGAGAGTCTCGAGAAAGACTCCCAAGCTGATTATGTTGTTGCAAAAGATAAAATTAACGGTTGAATAGCCTCAAAGCAACTACCAAGCAGAGCGCTGATAGAATTTGGTCTTGTCTATACCAAATATAGTTGCAGGGATTGAGAATAGTTTTCAAGGCATATGAGAATTTGTCTAGGATGTCAAGAGAACTATCGACGTAGCCTAATAGACCAAAACCAATAAGAATGCCTTCAACCCGGCGACGCCGGGCGCAAAAATTTGCAGAAGTGAGCTTCATCGGAAAATGAGTTGGAGCATTCAACTGTAACATGAAGGTGGTAGGAAAAATAGACTGATGGATCGGGAAAATATATCAAGGATCTAACAGATTAAAATCTACTCGCTTTGGATACCATGTAAATGATGTACGTAGTATATTTTATTAATTAAAATGAGAGACATACAGGAGTTTTAATAGTAGTACATATAGGAGTTCTAATCTACTTATACAACGGACTTGGGTATAAGAGATAATTAAGAAAAGGTTGTTATACTTAGTAAAATGTATACTATTTTTATCACTAACAGACCGAAAAATAGTGAACAAAGACCTTTATATGTAATACGAGTAATATAATACTGATATAATTTCTTTCATTTCAAAATAGTGTCTTTCTCACAATAAATTTTCCATAATTGGCATGCCAAGAACATGTAAGGAATCTATCATCGAATGTATGGAATATACCTAGGTTTGATGAATTTTTACATATATAGAGATTTGAATAGGTTTGATGAATTTTTTCCTATACCATTTGAATAGGTTTGCTGAATTTTTACCTATAACGTGTGAAAAGGGAAAAAGGCTTGATCGAGATTACGGAGTAATAGAAAATCAAGAGGAAAACCGAAGAAAAATGCATGTGAAGAGGGTAGGAGAGTAGGTAGTATGTAGTACAAGACCCCAACAATGATGTCAGATTTGGGCATTAAACCTTATTGAAAAATGGAATGATCACAAGTAACCTTTGCTACCCTGCTTGTTTTTTTAACCTTAAATTGACAGAGTGCAAACTATTTAGCTGAGTGAATACTTTGTGACATATTGTTTCACATCAACTAGCTAGCTCTTGTGACCTATACGGGAACAAGAATCTTGCCTTTGCTTGTGTTTCTTCTGCTGGCAAGCATATCCCTTTTTTAAATTGGAAGTGTGTACATGACCATCACTATTGCCATAATGACCTGGCAGTTCACATTTTAATATAATATAATGTGCTTATTACAGGCCACATCTATGATGTTAATATACACATATCCAAAGTTAGAAATTTTCAGGGCCCGACTTTGAATTGTTACAAAACTTAAAAACCAACATATTTTTTATATATTGAAAATATGTATACATATTTGTATACTGTATACATTAGAATTTTTTTCCCTTAGGGTATAAAATATGTGGAATAATGGCTTAACCCATCACGGAGCCCTAGCATTGTATGTATAATAATACTATTAAGAGTAATTACACACAAGTCCCTATAATTACACTCTTACTTGCCTCCACGCATGCATATATTCATCTTATATAAATTTGATCTCTTGCAAATCGCAACTTATAATCGATAGACTCAAATATCACTACAATAAAATAGACTTTTTGTCACACTTTCTTTATAACACTTTTTTTGTTACCTAAAACATTTAAAGTTTGAATGTTGCAACACATATTGATAAATATTACATAAGCCTTTGAATATAGGCTTGAAATCGGAAAAAACAGACTCGGTCTGGGCCCAAGCTGTGCCAGACTCGGTTATGGACTGGGCCGGATCGAGTCCACCTCTGGTATGGACATTAGGATAGTTGGGATAGGACGCATCAGCACAATTGTTATCACCACAATAGTTGAGAGAAGCACGTGTACCAAACATGTATTATTTGAAATTTCACTTATTTGTTAACCAACCTTAACTATATTTTAAAACTGTAAATGTATCATGTACCTTTTTTCTTAATGACCATTTAACCGTGCTGTGAGTTTTTAAAAGTTCATACAGCTAATCCAAAAAGACATTTTTTTATTTTTTATTCGGTTAGTCTGTTATTACGTAGTATGATATGTTGTGCCCATCCCTAGGACCTAGCTAGATACATCACTCATTTTTATTGTCAAGTTATAGTCAAGTTATAGTGAAAGACTACAATAAATACGTAGTAATCCTCATGGTGCAATCACACATGACATATGGATCCATAATGAAGCCATCTAAAATTTCCGATTTACTTCAAACCTTTATAAATAGTACTCCGTACTCCGTAATATTCTTATCCCAAAAAAACGCAATTCTTATCCCAAATCGTCTTTTTCAAAAAAAAAAAAAAACTAAACAATGACAAAATAAAAACGCAATTTATCCACCACCGGCGCGAAGTTGTTTTTATTTCGCCGGACTAAATCTTGGATGTTAACTAGTCAATTAAGCTCTTGATTCTTCTCCACAATCCTCACTTCCTGGATTGATCTTAGCACGTTTGCCTGCATATATACATATTACGGGCTACATCATTAAAAAATTATTATTACCATTGTCATTATCATAACCATTACTAATATAAGTCCAATAACCATAATTTATTTTTCGTCTAAAAATCTAAAATTAGTTGGAAGTTTTGACGTGAATAGACATTTGAACTATAACTAATTAAAAATCTTGTCAACAAAAATTGTTAACTAGCAATTCATGGACACGTCACACGTAGGAAATAAAACATGCCATATCCTTGCTTAAAAATGGAATCGTCTTATCGTCGCCTAATAATATTGACCGGGTTCATTATTTGAGTCGTTCACGTGTCAAACACGTGAGAAATGTTTGTAATTCGGATGACTTGAGTACTTGAAAATTGGTCTGGGTTAAATTGGTAAAGAAAATTGAGATTAGTTGTTAGAGACCACGAAAGACCCTTTCTCTTTCATACATTAGAAAAGCAAGATAGAGAGTTACAAGTTTTACAATGAAAAAAACTAGGTACACACCCTATTTTTGTTGATGTACCGAGGCCAAAAAATGTATTCGTTGGTGTTTGAACATCCTTATAATTAGCATCATCTACAAAATGTTTACATCAAAATGTGTATGTCAAGATTTGTTCTTTTACAATATATAGAGTCGTTTTTGGGCCAATTTTATATTCCCTTCGTCTCTAAATTATCTTCCAATACATTTTGCATATGGATTAAGATAGTCAGTATTGTGGTGGAGACTGGAGAGTTGGACATGTGAGAGAAATGTGTAAAAACATACTAATATAAGAATTGTCATTAATCACAAATTCTTTACTAAAAAGGAAAATGGAAGATTATTTGGGGATAAACGAACAATGAAATTTGGAAGATAATTTAGGGACGGAGGGAGTATAAAGTTTTCCTTCAATATTGTTGAATCAAAATTTGACTA